GTAAATCTTTGCAGCAGGAAATAGAATCAAAGATACTTCAATGACCCTTTATACACATACTGAGCTCTAGAGTTATGACTTCCATAAGAAAAAGACTTTCCTTTGCTAATCAACATAATAAAGGGGACATATACACAGAGACTAGTGTTATTAAACATTTTGAAATCTGATTTTCATTTTCTTCATATAACTATCATCACAGGCAGAAATTTACCTAAAAACTTATTTGCAGTTATCGACATCATAACTTTTAGGTAGTACAAAATCAACAACTGGGGAGGAGAAAATGAAATTTCCCTGAAATCCTAAATTGGTTCTAACCTCTTCTCTTTTGTGTGCATGCACTTAATTCTCAGAAAAACTTCCGGTAGAGGCCAAGCTACCATGGTACAAACAAGCTCAAGAACTTGAAGAAGGAGCTGCTGTGTCAGAAGAGCCCTCGTAAGTTTTCAGCCATGCGTTGTTCTGCTTTTGAAGCTGATTGGTTTAAAGAAAGCAGTGTGTTGCTGATGATGGTGGCTTTCATGGGTTCTGAGCTAAGTGTACTCCTCTTGCCGAGGGTGGAATGAGGCTTTGGGGCTGTCAAATTGGAGATTTATCAGTTTCATAGTGTTTCTCAAAACATGATTGCTCTCTAAATCTTTTCAGTTATGAACTAAGAAAGTGAAAGTGTAGTGCCTACCCTCTTCTCCAAAATCTGACCTCCTGTTTTCTTTTGCCGAGAGGCCAGAGGTGAGAAGGTCCAGGCTGCATCTGATGACGTAGTGCAGATTTGATGGGAAAGCCTAGGCAGCTTTTTATACTCGTTATCTCCCAGCTTTGCAGTATAGCCACTCACAAAAATGAAAGGGTAAGTGAAATATATCTGAGGTCAAAGGAAGCTTATTAGCTTTTCTTTTCCCTTTCTTGCTGGGATTGGTATCAGATGGATGGATACCAGGTCTTTGCCCCACTTGATCAAGGTCCCACACTGGCTCAGTTTGATCAAGGCCATGAAATCTGTAAGACCAACCACTAGGCACAGATTTTCCAGGTACTTCAGAAGAGGAAACAAGGAAGAGAGACAAACTTAGGTTGGTTGATTGACCAATAACTGTATATTGATTCTACTGCAGTACACTGATAGGCCTCTCTGCTACATCATTTTTGAAAATACAGGAAAGCACTTTATTGATGAATTTCATCTACGACCAAAGCAGTTTCTCTGACTGATGATTTTCTAGATTAATTTATTTAATACGAGTACTGGGCTCAGTGCTATGCATTGGTACCTAAGACGTGTTATGTTACCCACCCTCCAAGAGCTCACAGTATAGCATTCAGGATACAAAATGGTTTCCAAATTCAACCTGTAGTATAAATTTTACTAAATATAATATATAAATTAAGATTATAATTTATATATTCAAAAGCAATTTAGAACCTCTTCTGAGTCATCCTCTTTGAATCTAAATCTGATACGGTTTGCCAGAACACAGACTGTGTTCTGAATCACACCCTAAACATCAAGAGATTGAAAAAGAAATCCAAAATACAGATTGGCAAAATGACCAAAGTTCATTTGTAAAAAAAATGGTACTTGGTTTCACAGAAAAATGGTTTATATATAAGGTAACACATTTCTTACTTAAAAGGATAAGAAGCAAAACACAGATTATTTCTGTATCATAAAGTTGCTACAGCATTTTGTTTGCAACTTCTTTGAGAAAAGGCTTTAAGAAAAAGCAACTAGCCACTGCAGAACTTCGGAGGAAAGGCAGTGGTTAAAGATACAGTGCAACTTTTATGTGACTATATAAAGGCTTGAAACTTTCTGTTTCTCTCCTGCCAGTACCTGGCTTGACAGACCTTCTTGCTGCTGGAGAGGAAGGAAGCCGTTCATTTTAGAGGGGTATTAACTCTTGAATCCGCCAAGGGGTCCTATTTAAGACACAGAAAGATGCCATGTGATTGGAGCTAGTTGCTCCTTATACGTATTCCTAGATTAAATACATTTAAAGCCAGATAGGTATTATTTTACCTAAATAAACTCTGCTCTCCCGTACGTTATATTTTGTCATTTGGTCTAAAGCGTAATTCTGGGAGTGACATTGCATTATGACCGATGTTAAATAATATAACAAAGTTTAAATTAGATCAAAACACCTTATGCTAATAATTAAAAGTCTTTCTCTTTATTAGATACCTCTCAAATGAAAGCTGTAAGTACAGTTTAATGCTTCTGCAGAAGCATTACATAGACCACGTTCAACTATATTTTGTAATGAGTGTTTTCCACTAAAATTCTGATTAAGATGCATTATGCGTAACTTTAATCTTAACAAAATCCCTAAAGTAATAAACACATAGTTTTAACCATTGAAACTATAGCCATATATTAGATTATTAAATTTTACTCTTGGTGTAATGGAATTGCCATTTGGCATGAAATCTGAATCGAAGTTGATTGCAATTGGAGTGCTAGTGCCCTGTAAAGGAAATGTATACTGTTATGCTCAGAACAATAATTACTTTTATACAAAAATGAAATAAATGACAGCTGTAGAATAATGTAATGAAAGGTATGTGGTTTCCACATTTTAATACACTTTACTGTTTACCACACTGAACCCTAGGAAAGGTCCTACGTGTCACATTATTTTTTTAATTGATTTTGAATTTTAAAAACATAATTTTGCAGGGTCTTAATTCTTTATGTAAACCACACAGACTAGTTTCTGAATGTATGGAACAACCTATAATTACTCTCCATAGTATAATGAAAAAATGATACACTGTCAGCAAGGCTTTCCTTCCCCCCCGCCCGACCAAAGAGACTCACATTGCTTAAATTAAATAGTAATGTTTAGAAGCTGCGGTTGTCACTTCCGAACTAATACAGAGAAGAGAAACAAGAACAGTGGTCCAGGACTATCATCTCTTGCTTTGGCTCCAGTTAACATGGAGAGTTCTGTAATAAAACAGCGAATAGCATTTACTTCCCCTTATGTAGAATAAAAATATTATCACCAGCCTGTCTCATTCAATACTATGGGAAAATCAGTAGCTTAAAGTCTTTAGTATATGGAGATACCATTATTGAATGTCAGATTCTTTGGGTAACCCCAAAATGAAAAAAAAGATTTTGGTTATCACTGTAGCCAAAAATATGTTTGAAAGCAACCACTCTAAGACCTGTTTAGAAGAAAACTATAGTAAAATACTGAAAACGGAACTGCCAAGGAATAACTAAAACTTTATAGAACAGAAATATGTTACATATTCCGCTAAACTAAATGCCATGCAGAAGATACAAATCCAGCTATTAGTCTCATAGAATAGCTGAAATAAATATCAATAGTGGGTCACATGATAGTAATGAACTTACTATTGATGAGATTCATCTTATGAAGCTGCAGCTTCATTTATAAATGCTTTCAGAGATTGTTTTTTCCTCAGCAAAGACCTGGTTTGTTTACAGTGTATTTGATTCATATGGTACAAAGGTAGGAATATTGTGATGAGTATATTTTCTTGATCTGCAGAAAATGATTTCTTAACCCACCTGTGGGAGTCCTGCACTCTAAACTGACTTTTCACTGGTGGCCATAATTTGCCTTAATACACACACATGCCTTTATCAGGTTTTCCTGACAACCTACGTCAAGAATCTTCAAGCAGCTTTGTCTCTTAAATGAACGGGGCAACGTGAACAAGATCCAGCCCCAAACTGAGACTAAGGGATGGGGGGCTTTAGCTAGTGAAGCTGATCAAGCACAGACAACCTTATAAATTCACGCAGTAAAGTGAACTTGCTTCCAAGGATGTCAGCTGAGAAATCCATAGAAATCCCTGCTACACAATTAACATGGAAAGAATTATGGTTTGAGATGGACTTGTACAAAAAAATAAGATTCTGGGAGAGTTGCATTTTTCTGAGGGTAACAGCAGTGCCATTCTACCACTGGAAAGGGGGAAACAAGAGAGGGACTGACAGAATTCTCTTCTGCTGTTATTCAAACTATGTGTTTTTGAATTTGCCTCCAGCTGATGAGAGTAATGTTAGATTTAGGACACATCATTGAAATGCCAGCTGGTTGCTTCCACTGACGAATAAATGGAAATAGCTTTCTAGGTATTTTTTAAACCCTCAAAATTTTACTTCTGTTTGTTGAGGGATCAGAACTACATTGTGGTCATACAATTATACTCATTAAACAGATAGAAGCTAAAGAAATCACTGACTTGATTTTGCATCTCCTGCTTTTATACCTTCCTTTCAGTCTTTGTTGGGATGTATGCATGAACAGCATGCCCACTTCAAGCCAAGTACACAGCATGGCTGCTTTGATAGCTTAATTTCTTGAGCAAAAATGCAACTATGCGTGACTTCTAGGACCTGTCAAGACAGCTGTCTACTGCTACTGTAGTTAATCAGCTGGCCTTCTTAAAAAACCTAATCTGACTTGGAATAGGAAGAAAAATTTTCATTTTCTTAACTCCTTCAAGCCACCCACAAGCCACCCAATGCCCTAGAAGGTGATGGCGTGGGGGTTCTTGATGCCCTACCTTCTCTTTCTAGACTTTCTGCTCTCTGAATCAAGTCATCCCAGGGAGAGGAAGGTCAGACTAGTTGGGCATCTAGGGAAGCCAGGTCCACCCCAGAGTGATTTCAGTTGCCAGGAGTGCTTGGATGGCTCAGAACAAGTGACGGGAGACGGGTGATTCCCTTGGGTACACTTGACCAGCACCGCCATTTTAACTAGCCATCCCTCCATCAAGCCGCAGCATACACCAGGTGGAGACCCCTAACGGTGCTGTCCTTTCAAAGGTGGGATTGGATGGTCCTCTGTGCCTTGATCTTACACTTAAAAAATGTTGTCTTATTAGATTTTTTGTGAACAGCTTTACTGCATGGTTAGGAAAACATTTGGGGGCTGCAACACAATACCCAAGCCTTAAATGTATTGCCACAAATAACCCTGGTGTGAGCCATATTAGAAAGGAATAAGAAGGAAACAAGTGGGCAGAAGGCAGAGGTAATATCTGGATGCCAGGTGGCATCAGCTTAGTGATGGGGCTGATTCAGTAAGAGGCAAAGGAAAATTCCTGTCATGCATCTGTGTGAACAGAACCCACAAGGAATTAAGATACAGAAAGAAAAGCCAATGAGAGTCTCCATCGTGATCCTATAGTCATTAAATGGTTTGTTTACCTTGGTGAAAATAGTATTTAAATATATAATATTTATATAATATTTAAGCTATATGTTTATATTAGTCCATATTTATATCCAGTAAGTTGTCTGAGAATGTGGATGGCTTAACTCAGTGGTTAAGAATGTGAATTCATACTTTTTTAAAGTGGTTGGGACTGTTAATTGTGTGACACGTGATTTTATATTTTCCCCCAAAGGATATTTAGGGAATCAAACATTGGTAATGGATCCAGTTAGTTTTGCT